TGTGTGTGTGTGTGTGTGTGTGAGAGAGAGAGAGTGTGTGTGTGTGTGAGAGAGAGAGAGTGTGTGTGTGTGTGTGTGAGAGAGAGAGAGTGTGTGTGTGTGTGTGTGAGAGAGAGAGAGTGTGTGTGTGTGTGTGTGAGAGAGAGAGAGTGTGTGTGTGTGTGTGTGAGAGAGAGAGTGTGTGTGGGTATTTGTGTATCATGTGTTTATATATTGATGGTGTGTGTGTTCAGTGGGCAGCGGGCGGTGTCGGGGAAGGAAGCGGTCAGCAGCAGCAGTGGGTGGGCTGGACTCTGGTGGGCGGGGCCGCAGCAGCACACCTGCAGCACAGGTGAGAGAGAAAGCTGAAGAGCGGCACATCATCCACTGGACTCCTATAAGCACACATGTGTGTGTGTGTGTGTGTGTGTGTGTGTGTGACTGTGTGTTTGTGTTTCAGACGAGAAGGAAAGTGCCAGAGCCTGGAGAAGATGACGATCAGTCGGAGAAGAAGTTCAGGAAGTGTGAGAAATCCGGATGTCCTGCGATGTACCCTATGTGTTTCGCCAGCGCATCTGAGAGGTGTGTGTGTGTGTGTGTGAGTGTGTGAGTGTGTGAGTGTGTGTGAGTGTGTGAGTGTGTGAGTGTGTGTGAGTGTGTGAGTGTGTGAGTGTGTGTGAGTGTGTGAGTGTGTGAGTGTGTGTGAGTGTGTGAGTGTGTGAGTGTGTGTGAGTGTGTGAGTGTGTGAGTGTGTGTGAGTGTGTGAGTGTGTGAGTGTGTGTGAGTGTGTGTGAGTGAGTGAGTGAGTGAGAGAGTGTGTGTGTGTGTGTGTGTGTGTGTTGAGTATGGGAGGGGAGTGTGTTTAACTGATAGTAATGATCACTCAAACGCTCTCCTGCTCCGTCTGTCTTCCTCAGGTGTGCTAGAAACGGCTACACGTCGCGCTGGTATCACCTGTCGTGCGGCGAGCACTTCTGTAACGAGTGTTTTGACCATTACTACAGGAGGTGAGTGCTGATGGCTAACGAGGCTGATGCCTGCTGCGTCATGCTAACTAGGGGTGTGCACAAATAGTCGAATATTCGATCTGTAATTATTATTTGGAAAGTAAAAACACAATTCGAATTTTACTACGTGTTGCTTTGCTGGCCGTAAATGCAGGGAATCATGATAAATGCTAAGATAAATCTGCACTGGGTGGCGCTCTGGAGCGTGTTTACAAGTTGATTGTATTTGATCACAGAATGTCGTCGTCTGCCTCGTTTGGAATTAGTTTGATCAAAATTATCTTATTAAATGTTCTTACAAAATGGAATGACTTTTGATCAAATGAATCAGTGAACATATGCTTCCTTTAAGTTTCCTGGAGAGAGTGCTTTAAGAACAGAAAACACACAGCGCTGTAAGAAACTCCGTCTGTTTCGACGCACGCTCTTATCGTTATTAGACTGAGGAGCCAACTTTCATGTGGATATTATTGTTTTTCTCAACATTAACATGCTATGGAACAATATAAACCCGATAAACATGGCCGACTCGACTGTATGTTCTGTACTGTAACTTGCACGGTCTGCTTTATTTTTTCAGTTTGCTCTGCTTGAGATTGAGTGCTTTTGTTCTTTATATATATATATATATATATATAGTTTGTTTACACACGTTTTCAACTAAAAGAAAACCTTGAGATATAATGTGAAGTTGCTGTAGTCCAGTGTTGTGTATGATGCCTAATCATAAGCTTGTTCTGAAATGGTGACAAAAACTTGATTATTAAAAAAAAAAATGTAAATAAACATTAGTTTTTTTTATGAGCCCAAATATTTGAATACAGTATTTTTGGAAAATGTCCATCCCTAATGCTAAGCGTGCGTCTGTGCTCCTCAGTCATAAAGACGGCTACGAGACTTTTGTTCTTTATATATATATATATATTTATATTTTGTTTGTTTACACACGTTTTCAACTAAAAGAAAACCTTGAGATATAATGTGAAGTTGCTGTAGTCCAGTGTTGTGTATGATGCCTAATCATAAGCTTGTTCTGAAATGGTGACAAAAACTTGATTATTAAAAAAAAAAATGTAAATAAACATTAGTTTTTTTTATGAGCCCAAATATTTGAATACAGTATTTTTGGAAAATGTCCATCCCTAATGCTAAGCGTGCGTCTGTGCTCCTCAGTCATAAAGACGGCTACGAGACCTTCTCCTCGTGGAAGCGGGTTTGGACCAGCAATGGGAAGAGCGAGCCCAGCCTCAAAGCCTTCATGGCCGACCAGGAGCTGCCCTACTGGGTGAGAAACACTTCAGCCTTCAGCTGAACGTCAGAGCCCTCCAAACTCCACCGTGTTCATGCAGTGGGATTAAACTAATGCTTTGATGCTTATTAGAGTATTGTGTTATTAGCTCAGTCACTGGGGTTTAATGTTAATTTCAACATATACCAACACATGTTCAAAGTCAGGAGCTGTATCTGTTAATATTAGTATGTTGCAGGTCAGTTTGACCCATAACACGAGATTGAGTTGTCAGAAATACTGGTTAACCTAAGATTTTTTTATTTTTATTTTGTGACAATTTCTCATTTAGGGTTATGAAGAGTTTTTATTTTATTTTTTTTAAAGCTGTACGGACCCAAAATAATAATAATAATAATTTTATTGTATGTATTTTATTATGTCAGGTTCTTAAATGTCCTCTGAGAGTATTTACATTTATGCATTTTGCAGATGCTTTTATCCAAAGAAAGGTGCAAGTGTTGAAGCTGTAAATGATCAGCTCAAGCGTGGTGGTTTCACTGTAAATCAAAATCAAAATAACTTCATAACAAAATAAAATTAATAAAATATATATTTTTTAAATTTACCTTTAAAATATAAAAAAAATTGTTGAAATATTTTTTTATAATATTCACAATTTTAAAAAAAATAACTATTTCAAAATAGCTGTTAAAAAAAAGTATGTTCTCATGTTTATTTTTATTTTTTTAATGTGTGAGGTATTAATGTTAAAGGTTTTTACCTGTTTTTGTTTCTTGTGATTTTTTGGTGAATTGTATTGAATCCAGTTAGGGACAATTTAACCAAACAAATCATAACATAAAAATCAATCCCTGAAGTTTACTAACATGAACGAACGATGAAGTCTGTGTTTTTGTTGAACTAACATGAGCTCATTCTGATAAGTGCTGTAAAGATGTATTATTAGTTCATGTTAGCTGATGCATTAACTAGTGTTGATGGAGGGGACATTACTGTGTAGAGTTAAGTGGAGTTTCCCGCAGGCGTAGAGTCTCTTATCTCTCCAGCATGACTGAAGACGTGTGGCTGGTCATCGTGTGCTTCTCAGGTTCAGTGCACTAAAGCAGACTGTGGTAAATGGCGTCAGCTGAGTAAAGACACGCATCTGTCGGCCGCGCTGGCGTCCTCGTACTGCTGTGGGATGAAGCTCAGCAGCAGCAAAGTAAGCAGCGCTTCATGGCCCGTCTGATGCTGGCGCGTGTGCGCTCTCTCACGTCTGTGTGCTTGTGCTCCGCAGGTGGAAGGAAGTGATGCGTGTTCTCAGCCGGAGGACCTGGTAAAACCCTGAGCGCACATTAAAACACCAGATCATGTCCTGAAATGTGTTCGTGACAGACGGTGCACAAAACAACATCTACCTAATGCTCGACGTGACTCCATTCATATGAATTAGTGTTGTGGAAATAGTTTGATTGGATGCACAACAGCTAAAGCAGCTTAAACTATCATAGTTGTGCATGATTATATGGTTAGTTGTTATATATGGTTATATTATTCTTTCCTGCTGTCCGTCACGCATCAGAACCAGTTGAGATGCGCAGCTGCATGTGTGAAAAAGCATGCATCCTAGCCAGATGTGAAGCAGTCATGCTGTAATGTGATTGGCTGGATGAGCTGCAGCAGGAGGATCTGATTGGTGGTTTGCTGTGTGTGTGTGTTGTGTGATCAGCGAGTGGCCGGTGTGACAGACAGCTGGTGGCTCTCTATGCTCATCCTGCCGCCGCTGTTTAAGGACAGTCCCGCCACTCCGTTCCTCTCCTGCTATTACCCCGACTGCGTGGGCATGAGCCCGTCTGCCTCGCCTAGCAACCATCCCCCCGGCAACCAGCGGCCCGAGCAACGGCGAGCTGCTCAGCCTCACAGTGAGTCCAGAAGCGTCGGTCGTTCACAACCAGGGCTTTCATCATCCACTCTCATGATCAGATTATTGACAGAGGTGGATTTAATACAGACACTGCAGGCCAACCAGGGTTTCTTCACGCAGTGGTCAGTTTTGAAAAGAAAACATCCGAAATACACATTTAAGTGTTTGTTTTATTGCACTTTATCTATTTGTGTGAAGATTTCAATCTCAATCCGTATCTTTAAAGAGGTTTGTCTCTTACAAACAGCAAACGTTACAGTTTAATCCTCTCTGTATTCTCAAGGTTTGTTCATATTTCATTCACACTGATTTATGCAACACTTTACTCCTGAAAACATGATGAAAATCTGTCTGTTGACCGTATTTTCTGATTTATGATAAAGAGAGAAATCCCAAATCTCCTCTGGAAAACCTTTAACTCTAATATGACAATAAAATCAAACGAGAACCGATGTTTAGATTTCTGTTCTAGAAATTCATGCAGATTAGTGCATATTTAATTAGATTTAATGCTTAATTGGCATATTTAAACAAAGCACTTATAATACAAAGCAATTGTCTTAAAGGGTTAGTTCACCCAAAAGTGAAAATTAGGCCATAAATTACTCACCCCCGAGGCATCCTAGGTGTATATGACTTTCTTCTTTCAGACGAATCCAGTCGCAGTTATATTAAAAATTGTCTTTGATCTTTCAAGCTGTTTAATGCCACTCAGCGGGTGTTGCATTGCTTCAGTCCAAAAGAAGTTAAATAAAAAGCGCTGAACTCATACGTCATGCTCCCGGAGCTGCTTCTGTGTGCAACAGTGAGCGCAAGCTACATTAAAGTGATTATTACGTTCTGAATATGGATATTTTTCTTACAAAAATGCATCGATTCGCTACAGAAGGCCTTTGTTCACCCCCGGAGCCGTGTGAGACACTTTTTTTATGGATGGGCGCTTTTTATTTAACTTCTTTTGGACTGAAGCAATGCAACACCCGCTGAGTGGCATTAAACAGCTTGAAAGATCAAAGACAATTTTTAATATAACTGCGACTGGATTCGTCTGAAAGAAGAAAGTCATATACACCTAGGATGCCTCGGGGGTGAGTAATTTATGGACTAATTTTCATTTTTGGGTGAAGTAACCCTTTTAATGTACTGTGATTAACCACTGATGAAGTATGCTGATATACAGTATATTAGTTCATGTTTACTGTGGTGTCTTCTTGTAATTGAGGTTTATTCAGCAGATATTGGCTTGTAAGTGTGAACAGTGACTGTCACCGTGATCGATTGTGTGTGTGTGTGTATTCTGGACTGGTTGGTATCACCTCTGTACAAATAATTACATTAGTTTTTGCAAATAAAAATTATTGATATAGATTGGCCGTTCAGTCAGAATGAAGAGCCGAAGAGTCTGTTTTGTAAGGTGTGTTTTGTTCTTTATGGTCTGTTTTCTGATTGGTGGACAGGTGGTGGTTCTGGAGGCCAGGGAGCGAATCGGAGGACGAGTTTGGGACGATGCATCGCTGGGCGTGACGGTGGGGTGCGGAGCTCAGATCGTGAACGGCTGCGTGAACAACCCCATCGCCCTGATGTGTGAGCAGGTAACACTCACTCACTCACACACACGCGCACTCAGACACGCTCACACACACGCGCACTCACACACGCTCTCACTCACTCACACACACACACACGCTCTCACACACGCACTCACTCACTCACTCACACACACACACGCTCTCACACACGCACTCACTCACTCACTCACACACACACACGCTCTCACACACGCACTCACTCACTCACTCACACACACACACGCTCTCACACACGCACTCACTCACTCACTCACACACACACACGCTCTCACACACGCACTCACTCACTCACTCACACACACACACGCTCTCACACACGCACTCACTCACTCACTCACACACACACACGCTCTCACACACGCACTCACTCACTCACTCACACACACACACGCTCTCACACACGCACTCACTCACTCACTCACACACACACACGCTCTCACACACGCACTCACTCACTCACTCACACACACACACGCTCTCACACACGCACTCACTCACTCACTCACACACACACACGCTCTCACACACGCACTCACTCACTCACTCACACACACACACGCTCTCACACACGCACTCACTCACTCACTCACACACACACACGCTCTCACACACGCACTCACTCACTCACTCACACACACACACGCTCTCACACACGCACTCACTCACTCACTCACACACACACACGCTCTCACACACGCACTCACTCACTCACTCACACACACACACGCTCTCACACACGCACTCACTCACTCACTCACACACACACACGCTCTCACACACGCACTCACTCACTCACTCACACACACACACGCTCTCACACACGCACTCACTCACTCACTCACACACACACACGCTCTCACACACGCACTCACTCACTCACTCACACACACACACGCTCTCACACACGCACTCACTCACTCACTCACACACACACACGCTCTCACACACGCACTCACTCACTCACTCACACACACACACGCTCTCACACACGCACTCACTCACTCACTCACACACACACACGCTCTCACACACGCACTCACTCACTCACTCACACACACACACGCTCTCACACACGCACTCACTCACTCACTCACACACACACACGCTCTCACACACGCACTCACTCACTCACTCACACACACACACGCTCTCACACACGCACTCACTCACTCACTCACACACACACACGCTCTCACACACGCACTCACTCACTCACTCACACACACACACGCTCTCACACACGCACTCACTCACTCACTCACACACACACACGCTCTCACACACGCACTCACTCACTCACTCACACACACACACGCTCTCACACACGCACTCACTCACTCACTCACACACACACACGCTCTCACACACGCACTCACTCACTCACTCACACACACACACGCTCTCACACACGCACTCACTCACTCACTCACACACACACACGCTCTCACACACGCACTCACTCACTCACTCACACACACACACGCTCTCACACACGCACTCACTCACTCACTCACACACACACACGCTCTCACACACGCACTCACTCACTCACTCACACACACACACGCTCTCACACACGCACTCACTCACTCACTCACACACACACACGCTCTCACACACGCACTCACTCACTCACTCACACACACACACGCTCTCACACACGCACTCACTCACTCACTCACACACACACACGCTCTCACACACGCACTCACTCACTCACTCACACACACACACGCTCTCACACACGCACTCACTCACTCACTCACACACACACACGCTCTCACACACGCACTCACTCACTCACTCACACACACACACGCTCTCACACACGCACTCACTCACTCACTCACACACACACACGCTCTCACACACGCACTCACTCACTCACTCACACACACACACGCTCTCACACACGCACTCACTCACTCACTCACACACACACACGCTCTCACACACGCACTCACTCACTCACTCACACACACACACGCTCTCACACACGCACTCACTCACTCACTCACACACACACACGCTCTCACACACGCACTCACTCACTCACTCACACACACACACGCTCTCACACACGCACTCACTCACTCACTCACACACACACACGCTCTCACACACGCACTCACTCACTCACTCACACACACACACGCTCTCACACACGCACTCACTCACTCACTCACACACACACACGCTCTCACACACGCACTCACTCACTCACTCACACACACACACGCTCTCACACACGCACTCACTCACTCACTCACACACACACACGCTCTCACACACGCACTCACTCACTCACTCACACACACACACGCTCTCACACACGCACTCACTCACTCACTCACACACACACACGCTCTCACACACGCACTCACTCACTCACTCACACACACACACGCTCTCACACACGCACTCACTCACTCACTCACACACACACACGCTCTCACACACGCACTCACTCACTCACTCACACACACACACGCTCTCACACACGCACTCACTCACTCACTCACACACACACACGCTCTCACACACGCACTCACTCACTCACTCACACACACACACGCTCTCACACACGCACTCACTCACTCACTCACACACACACACGCTCTCACACACGCACTCACTCACTCACTCACACACACACACGCTCTCACACACGCACTCACTCACTCACTCACACACACACACGCTCTCACACACGCACTCACTCACTCACTCACACACACACACGCTCTCACACACGCACTCACTCACTCACTCACACACACACACGCTCTCACACACGCACTCACTCACTCACTCACACACACACACGCTCTCACACACGCACTCACTCACTCACTCACACACACACACGCTCTCACACACGCACTCACTCACTCACTCACACACACACACGCTCTCACACACGCACTCACTCACTCACTCACACACACACACGCTCTCACACACGCACTCACTCACTCACTCACACACACACACGCTCTCACACACGCACTCACTCACTCACTCACACACACACACGCTCTCACACACGCACTCACTCACTCACTCACACACACACACGCTCTCACACACGCACTCACTCACTCACTCACACACACACACGCTCTCACACACTCACTCACTCACACACACGCTCTCACTCACTCACTCACTCACTCACACTCACTCACTCACACACGCACTCACTCACTCCCTCACACACACACACACTCACACTCTCATACACACTCTCACTCACACTCTCATACACACTCTCACACACGCTCTCACACACACACACTCACTCACACACGCTCTCACACACTCACTCACTCACACACACAAACTCACACACCCACTCACACACGCACATGCACTCACACTCTCGCACACACATACGCACACACACACACACTCACAATCTCATGCACGCACGCACTCATAAACACATGCGTGCACTCACACTCTCGCACACACATGCGCACGCACACACACACACACACACGCACTCACACTCTCACATGCACTCACTCTCTCACACGCACTCACGCACTCACACACACACTCACTCACTCACTCACTCTCTCACTCATCCACCCACACACACACAAACTCTCGTACACGCACTCACACACACACTCACATGCACATGCACTTACACTCACACACACATACACTCACAATCTCACGCACGCACACACTCCTAAACACACACTCATACACGGATTCACGCGCACACACACTCACACACACATGCGTGCAATCTCTCGCTCACACTTTCGGGCACGCACTCACACACGCACATGCACTCACAATCTCACGCACGCACGCACTCATAAACAATCTCACACACGCACTCACGCGCACACACTCACACACATGCGTGCGCTCACACACGCACACACATACACACGCACACGCGCACACACACACGCGCACACACACACGCGTGCACTCACACACTCGCAACATACGCACACACACACACACACTCACAATCTCATGCACGCACGCACTCATAAACACTCTCACACATGCACTCACGTGCACACACACTCACACACACATGCGTGCGCTCACACTCGCACACACATACACACTCACACTCTTGCACATGCGCACACACGCGTGCACTCACACTCGCACACACATGCGTGCACACACACACTCACAATCTCACGCACGCACTCATAAACACACTCACACACGCACTCACGCGCGCACACACTCACACACTCATGCGTGCGCTCACACTCGCGCACACACACACACACACACGCACCAACTCACTCTTGCACACGCACTCACACGCGCACACACACACACATGCGTGCAATCACACTCTCGCACACACATGCGCACACACACACGCACTCTCACGCACTCACACACACACTCACTCACTCACTCACTCTCTCACTCATCCACCCACACACACACAAACTCACACACACACAAACGCACTCACACACACACTCACACACACATACACTCACAATCGCACGCACGCACTCATAAACACAATCTCACACACGCACTCACGCGCACACACTCACACACATGCGTTCGCTCACACTCGCACACACATACACACACACTCACACTCTTGCACACGCACTCACACGCGCACACACACACACACACGTGTGCACTCACACTCTCGCACACACGCGCGCACACTCACAATCTCACGCACGCACTCATAAACTCACGCGCGCACACACACTCTTGCACACGCACACACATACACACGCACTCACGCTCTCACACACACGCTCACACACACACACACATGCGTGCACTCACACTCTCGCACACACATGCGCACACACACACTCACAATCTCACGCACGCATGCGCTCATAAACTTACGCGCGCGCGCACACACACACACACACACACACTCATTCCAGCCTTTTGTACAGAACACGGTAAAGACCTCCTTTTTTCATCTTAGAAATATTGCACGTATTCGACCTTTTCTTTTCTGTTGCTAAAAAATTGATTAATTCTTTAGTTTTCTCACGAATTGATCATTGCAGTGCTCTCCTTGTTGGAGTGTCCAAATGCTCTCTTAACAAATTGCA